AGTTTAGTGCGCCGTTTGTTTCCTTCTACCCCATTCGTACCGATCACGGACCATTTCCCCATTTCATCTTAGTATCCGTGTTTATGTAACGTAAAACGTAATCATGGTTATTATGTTTTACGAGTGAAATAAAAAAAGTTGTACCTCTCTCCTGCCGTTAATACGAAATTCATATTTTACATCATATGACTAGATGACACATAATTTACATAAAATTAGAAAAAAGTAAGAATACTGTTTATGCTAAATATCTACGAGGAATTAAACTCGTCGTTTTAAAAACTGTATAAATAATAGTCTCCGGCTCTGACCATGAACGTATATTTTATTGTTTCGATATCGATATTACATCATGGCTGGTGTTTAATAGTTTTTTACTATTTTCCGTCTTATTGCTTAAAATCCATGAAATCGCCCATTCAGTGCATCGAAAATTAGAGTAATTTAATAAGTAAAATGCATTGTGTTTGATAGATATTTGATAAATAAACGTTTTATTTGAATATACGAGTAGTCCAAAATCCAATTTTAAATTATACATCGACCGTCGATAAATTATTAATTTTTTAGCCGCACTTGTTAAACGACTGTTATTAGAGAATATGAGAGAGGTTAAAATATCTAAATTAAAATAGAGATTTAACGATTTATATTCTATCATAAGGTGTGACCAAATAGAATAACGACTGATTTGAATACATACTACGAGTTAATCGGTAATTTTGTGTTTATCTCATGGAAAATTTGACGTTTATTTAGAATGATTTTTTATAAGCTTAGACTATTTTGAGTAATGAAAATTATTAAATTTCCTATGTGTGTATTGATGACAATTTAGAACTTCAGATCCTATAGACGCACAACTGCGATTTCTGATAATCTACTCGTATTATTGATTATGATTTGTAATTAACACAAACAAATATTGAAAAATCTACTAAGACTGTATTGATGTGTAAAACAAATAAACTACAGTATGTTTGTCAAAAAAAAAGAAAAAAAAAAGAAAATATTTTTCGAGAAAATTTCCATTTATTTATATTATTTATTTTTTATGAAATTAACTGCCGTGGCTTATAATAGTGCTTACAAAATACCGGAATAAAGATTAATTGTTTGTCTGTTTATGACATATTCGATTTAATAGAGTGGTATAAGGTCCTTAATCTTAACTATATAAATGTTTAATAATTAATTTAAAAATACAAATAAAATTTTTTTCTTAATTAGATTATTTATTGTATGGTAATTATTCTATAGATTTCGCCTTTGGATGAGTGTTTCTTTCATATAATGAACCACGTTAATTTATTTATTCTTATGCATGATTATTGAAAAAATAATTAAAGATTGTGGGATTGTATGTTTTAAAATAAAGAAAAATAGATTAAGTATAAGTGCAAAATAAAAATTGTATTTCGATTGATTGTAAATTCTTTAAAATGTTATGTGTTATAACACAAAACTACACTACCTAACTTGTTGAAGAAAAACTTATGATATTATTATGAAAAATATAGTATAATATTATTTAAGATTTCGAGTGAAGCCAGAAATATATCATTTTTATCATGATTTTCACCGGAGATATTACTCTAATCATACACTTGCTTTTTTTCATTTTGATGACAAACTATGTCTTGGTAGTGTATTTGAGAGGTCATTTTTTTAATTTTTTAATAGTAAAAAAAAAAAAAAATCAAGAAATTTAAAATTTCAACTAATTTCGATCAAATGATAATAATTATGTTGTTTTCCAATAATATTAAAGATTAAAACAAACACTGGACAAGTACTTTATCTACGTATATAATAATAAAAATTCTAACTATTGTTACTAAATTAAAAATTAAATTAAAGACCGAAGTTTGAACTTAAATTATATGATTTTTATTTTTTTTAATAGTCTGCTCAATCATTCTAATTACGAATTTATTAGGTACTTACACGTACACTTATATAATAATTTAAGCTATCTTAAGATATAGATACTGTGTGAATATCATTCACTCAAAATTGTTTTATTATATTTTTACTCTTGAACTACATAATTAAGTTGGTTATTTATGATTCACAAATATTTATATTTGCAGTTCTAAAAAACACAATGAAAATCAATCGTTATCAATGGCATTAATAATAGGTTCAGTTCATTCAAACTTAATCTCTTAACGCGTAAACTTGTTACGATAATTCAAATTAGCCTTGTAAAATAAACATTCTTTAACTTTTAATCTATAGTTAAACTTACCTAATTGTGCTAGATTCGTGTTTGGCATGGAAGTCGGACAGTTTCTGTTTTTGGAATATATTTCAATGTCGTTGTCATTGACTCGAAAATACTGAAAAAAATAATAATAATCTGTAATATTTGTACAAGATATTGTGCCATGTTTTGTCAGCAAAACGGAATGAAACATGATTAAAAGTTTTTTCGCTCAAACGTACCTGCTCTAAAGTATACATAATATTGAGATACAAAATGTAATTATAAAACATATTATAAAATATATAGTCTTGAAATCAAATTTTTCTGGAGAGAACTTGACCAGAATAATAACAAGTCGATATAGGGGGTTTGGCTATTATAAGAATCTTACCCGAGAACCGTGAAATACGCATCTACAACTAAATATTTTAGTCGGGACCGGTGTTCTACATTTAAATAATATATATGGATACAAGTCTATCGGGCGAGAAATCCGGATCGTGCAACAACCGTTTACGCACAGCGTAGACATGTCATCCAATAGTGTCCCCCCCGACTGGACCGGTCAATTATCATTGTTAACAATAAGAATAAGTGCGCGCAATTACATGACGAGTTCGGATTTTAGCTTGTTTCACCGACGAGATCGGTACACACGGGTGTATAACTCACGTATAATGGACGCGATTTTCAAAAAAAAAAAAAAAAATTCAAATACCGAAACAATGAGAATATCGAGCCATTTAGCCCCTCTCGCGTTTAACTTATTATTATTATGTTAAGTGGTCATTGTTCGCAGTTTTTGTTATTCCGACCGCGGTCAAAAGAAAAATTTGAATACCGGTGACCGAAATAGTCCCCGAACCCTCGCAAACAGCCGCGGCTCGTTCAATTAAGAAACGTTTTTCCCGTTTCATTCGGTTTTTTCTTCCTTCACGTATTCATCAGCGGCGGGCGGATTAACATCTTCAAACTTCACGTCGCCGTGTCGTACGTGTTCGGATTATGATATCGTCAACAATGGCGCGATCCGGATGACGAGGTTGTCGTCGAGGTGAAGTCCCTCGGCCTCGTGACACGGACGCGAATTGTCGACAAAACGAAAGAGAAAAAGAGCCGACGACGACGGTGCACGTGAGACTCGGACGCGCGTCGTCGTGGTCGTGCGTCAGTGGAACCGTCGTCGGCGAGGCATAAAGGAACCGGGCCGCCGCGTTTGCAGATATCGCGGCGATAGACGGCGAAGAAAATAAAAAAAAAAAATTAAAAAAATAAATAAAAAATAAAATTAAGTCTGGGAATCGAAAACGTTCGGCCGGCGAACGAAACACCGCCGCGCCGCCAAGAATTTCGCCGCACCAGCGGTAAATGTTCACCGCGACATTATTACCGTACAATTGTCGACAAATTCCCAGCTTTACCTCTGCCCGGGCGAGCGGTGTGCCTAATTTATTTCGTCAAGCCATGCGGTGAATGTCGTGCACGCGGTCAAATCAAAATATTTGCGCGACAAAACGCGGTCGGCGTTATGCGTTTAAGAGACATTTCGCCCGGCACCGCAATACATCAACCGTGTTTTCAGGTATTTTTCGTAGGCACGCCCGATCGTGGGTGTCACTAACCAGCGGAAAACCGATTTCGAACTTCTTCTTCTTCTTCTTCTTTCGTGTCGTTCAGATCTCGGTCATCCAAAAAGCCGCGACTGCTGCCGCTTTGTCATTTGCCAGGTGTAGGTCATTTTCATCACAAATGGTTCCTATTAGAGGACATTGTAGTAGGTGGCCCATTGTCTGTATTTCACCACATTTACAGTTGGTTATGTCGTCTTCTCGTAATATTTTCCATTTCTTGAGTGTAGTTTTGCATCGTCCGATTCCTGTTCTTAAACGATTTAATGCTTTCCATTTTTCCCATTTCCAGTTTCTACCTTTAGGTAGCTCTTCTTTTAATTCCCTCGTGGTGTTTTGTTCTCTCTCCTTCCATCTGTTGATTCTTTCTTTTTCTGGGGGGTTCTTTATCGGTTGGATCGTAGTAAGGAAACTTTTCCTGGATTTAAGTCGTGTTTGCGGCGGGCTCTTTCCATGTAGCGGGTGCCGGGGATCGTTTTGTTGTTTGTGTCGTTCTATCTCTGATGCAATCTCTCTCCTAATATCTGGTGGGGCTATTCCTGATAGTACTTGTATTTCCTCGACCGGTGTTGGCTTTAGGCATCCTGAGATGCCCATACGGGGGGCAGCATATTCGGCTGTTGAGTAGCATAGTGCTAGTGCTGATGTTCTTACGGTATTTGGGTCTGCTCCCTATGATGTTCCTGTGAGCTTTCTAATCAGGTTGTTTCTCGTGTGGGTTTTTTGTTTTACGTTTTCGCAATGAAGTTTGAATGATAAGGTTCGGTCTAGTGTGACACCAAGGTATTTTGGGTATTCGGTATTTTCAATCTCAACATCTTCCCATATTATTCTTAATTTTCGTTTTGCTTCTTTGTTTCTTAGATGAAAAGTGCATACTTGGGTTTTTTTGGGGTTTGGTTTTAACCAATTTTTTTTGTAATAAGTTGACATTTACTTCCAGTGCGTTGTTAAGAATGCTTTCTATATTTCCAAACGAGTGATTCTGAGCAGTGAGCGCTAGACCATCCATCAGCGTATATGAAACGCTGGGTTCCTAATAGTGTTGGCTGATCGTTGGTATATATGTTAAATTTCGAACTTCGGACGTTGTTTGTTTGCCGTGCTCAATATTCTTTCGGCCTCCGGGTGTACACCGAACGCGAAGTGAAAAACATTTACTCGAACACGCTTACGTTAACACGGTTAATATAATCTGGCGAAGTATAAGTGGATTAAGTATGTTAAAGCTTACAAATATTTTGTATTTACTCGTGCAATAGTAACACGTTAAATGGATTAAAAGTTACTTAACATGGTCAAAAAATGGTCTAACTTTTAAAATTGTACAAAGATATTCATAAAAACCTATGTTTACGTATGTTATCCTAATTGCGACCCAGGAACATTATAATTGCGATTGTTTTCGTTAAGAACGATAATTTTTATAAAAAAAAAAAAAGGATTTTACATCTATATTTGATTTAATACGACTACATGACAATTGAACCGCAGCTGCGCATCACGGGGGAAAAAATACTGCTAGCTTTTTACACTCCGATTAACGATATAAGAATATGGGTAAAACACGCGGTGCACAAAACTTCTATCGCCTCCGACGACGAATAAGACATTGTGTTCACGCGGCGGAACACAGTCGTCGGCTGTGCCGTACCGATGGATGGATACGACGTGTAAAAATAACGCGGACCGTGTGCGGTCTTACGGGTACAATTATACGCGCTCGTAATAGACGTCCTGCGCGCGGACGCAGGACGATCGGACGGGAAAACGGTGAACAGGACGAGTACAACGTGTACTGTGACGAGGGAAATGAAATGATTTATCCGAGCGGAACGCAATATTATACTCTCAGTATTTCACTGTTACTACTGCAGCCGCTCCGGGACTGCAGCTCTATTCCATTGTTTCGGGTAATCGCGTGAAGGGCAAACACACAAAGACGCTCGAGCACGCACGACGTACGTATAAACGGAAAAAACGAGTGAAAACCAATGTACATATATTCGCACGAGCTGCACCCGTCCCTGCCCGACGAACGTGTTTTATTCGTACAGCAGTGGATATAAATTTTCAGATTGTCACAGTAAGCGCGAAACGAAATTCGTAACTCAAAATACGGTTTCCAATCGCACATTTAGACGAAATGCTTTTATGCTCGGATACCATACCAAAACGGATCTCATAATAGCTATAAACATTCACAGGCCTAAACGGTTTTTTTTTCTTTTTTATTCCACACGATTTCGATGATTTCCGTACCAACATCGATTCGATGTGTACACCCATCATAACTATATATCTTTGTCCAAGGTATTGCGCAACAAAATCGTATTGTTTTAATATATTTATGCTAATGAGTTATAACATTAATCGAGAGCGATCATTATTTTCTGTATTATGTAAAGTAACAATAATATAGTTTTAAACTGTTGTTTTTTTATTTTAAATAAATTACAAAAGTTAAAAATCTGGTTCGAAATATAAGAGTAAGCAAAAAATGAACAGTAACAGCTTATAAACAATTATATTACCTTATGCATTGTCATATATACATATAATCACGTACCCATACAGGCTCACATAAATGATCCAAAGTTGTCTTGTTGCAAGAATTTCGTGTCCTAGGAAACTTGAAAAATTTCCATAGGTAGGAAGTAGTTGAATAAAAAACCACATTTACTTAAATTTACCGTGTCGAACATTGTGCAAACTTAAAACTATACAAATAACTGTTAAATAATTGTGTCCTTATAGTTATTGAAAACGACGTGTTTGATATACGAACTCGTACATTGGTATTACCGTTGAAATCGTTGACGTGTTTTCTGTAAAATGTTAGGTACGCATTCTGAAATTCTTTGTTAGGTCCTAACGGACATCGATAATGTCATTAAAAAAAAATTAATTCAAAACGATATTAAGACTATCTATACGTACTGTGATGATTGCTTCAAATGTTACAGTGATCGTTAAGTTTTTTAAATAAATAACGTTGTGCAAGGCACCTGGAAAAACAATTGTTCGGATACGCACGTGGTAAAAACCACTTGGTTCAATACGATTTTAAACCCTGCATATTATTAGGTTTTACAACAGTTAAATTTTAACTGTTGTAAAATAATATATTATTTTTCCTATGATTTGAGTATTTTGGTTAAACGAAAATGAATATCATTTTCTTGTATTGATTTTTAATGCACTACTACGTTGTAAGTTTTTTAAAGATCATTTTATTTTTATTAAGTAAGAAGAAATTGACTTGAATGTTATTCAAGTACAATGTATTAGTATAATATTAGTCAAATATAATAAGAATTACAAGTTACGATTAATAAAAAAAAAACAGAACCAAATCGATATAAATGTTAACAAATATTTAATACCACAATAATATTTCCTTTTCCGTACGTCTTTAAAAAAGTTCTTGTTTTTTCAGGACCTGTTTCATGTTGCATCTATAAGTATGTATGTTCACAGAGTCGGTATTTTGATCATATTAATA